TTTTTTTTTTTTCTAGTTGTCCATATCGCAAATGATCCTGTTCAGATGGCCCTGCCTGCTCGCATCCCGCTCGACGTGCGTCATAATCGGTTCAGTGGAACTAGCGCTGTTGTTTCGGAGGTAGTACAAGGTCAGCACACACCCACACCCTTTGCTGATGCAATTTATTAGATCCCTTTGTTTTACCCAAGCCCACTTGGCGATGAAAAGTTTAAAGATCATGATCCTAACAAGATGTACCAGGCTGGTGAATTCTTTACATTCAAATGCAACACCAAGGACCTTGACTCGGACCAGACGATCGATCATGTAGAAGTGAACTGGACGAGAGTATCAAGGTTCAGTCCGTTCATGAAAATGAAGGACAATACTGGATATCTTGTATTCCACTGCACTGGATTCAAACTACCTCAGGGATCTACTGTAGATGATCTTGACCCCCTCTTGGTGAACGAGATCAAGAGGGATATGACGGCTTATGCAACTGCACCAGCCGAATATAATCCAAACGCAAAGAATGTCACAAGTTGGACCTACTTTAGAGATAACTTTGATACTATTGTCAGTAAAGGAGCAAACTAGCTTCTATAACAAAATAAATCTATGTATGTGATGATATGCGCAATATGCGAGGAATCTTTTTCATGAAAAATGATATTTTATTTATAGTCCAAATGAGCGCATAAATAATATGATAAATGTCCACTCGGACCCTTTCAATCCTTTTGGAAGTGAATGATAAGAAACTACCCTCTATGGATCAAGGGTAAAAATGTAAAAAGAAAGTCTTTTTGTCATAATTACGGCAACCATTGTACGTTATGTGCCTTTCGTTAGTCTGTTATCTTATTTTCATTGTTCTGTTAAGTAATACATCATCTTTAGTACTATCCGCGATGCTCATGTTTACTGTCGGCGCAAATTGAACGTAACAAACTTAATACATTATAATTGAAGTGAAAGAAAAGATCCAATACAGTTATCGCATCGCCAATTTAGAGTGAATGATGGTTAGGAAAACGTGATCAAATTCAATTACTTCCCTGTCTCACGACAATGGGACTTAGCCTTGTTGACATACGTCTTAGCCTTATTAATATCGTTGGTACACGTCAATGTAGCCTCAACAATGTCCCAAGTTTGGCCGAAGAGCTCAGACAGATGAGGTTCCGTGACATGGTATTTGGTCGTGAGTAAGTCTTGGATAGGTTCCCAATCATCATTGTCGTCGCACTTAAGGAATTCCTTAGTTAATTGCACGTTGGCAAGGTCGAGAATGGATGAAAGGCCGCATTTCATCCAATACTGTTGGTCGTTGGCGATAGGGTCACTGGCATTGCATTTTTCGAAAAATTTGAGAGCTTCGTGCTTGATCCTTGTCTCAAAGCGCTGCCTTGAAAGGCCATACTATTGGATTCCTGCTTGGATAAATACAATGAGAGCAGATCAGATGTACTAAGTTCATTTGGTGGGACATCGCCATCATTATTGTCAACGCCATAGTTGTCACCATCGTTATTTTCGGACTGCTGCTAATGGATAGGCCGGTCATGATCATTTTCCTTGTCATCGCTTTCATCAGGGTGGCCTTGGATATTGCCAATCGCTTAATTCAATTATTGTTCATATTCTGCTGCGCCCAAGCGAGTGACCTTAGCGCTATTGATTCAGCCCACTTGCATGGCAAATGCTTTCTCTTGTTCAAGGACCTAGGTTTGGGAAAATCGGAAGGAGGTGTCTTTGTACTTGTAATATTTCGCCAACTGTGAACGGTAGCTCTGCAATGAATAGTAGTCTTTTCTTTTACTGGTAATGGTGCTGAGAGAATAGATCACCATACTCTTGGCTATTATTGCCTTTTTTTTTTTTTTCAAACATTTCGCTTTACTTGAACAGCTCTTTGATCACCAAGGCATAGTTTGCCCAATCAGCAACCTTTAATACACTGAACAAAGGAAGCATGCCATATCCGCTGTATTTGTCAGAATGTACGTGAAATTCTGGTGTAATGCCTGTTGTATTCAGCTTTAGTGTTATTGAAAAAATGCTATTAAGTCGATGACTTGCGAATTACATTCTTTATGAAAAAGAGCTGAATATTATTAATCTAAGTTTATCAGCATGATTTAATGTGGTCAATGTGATTATTCTCAATGCTACACTAGCAGTTACTATTATTATTACAAGTTATTCTTATCAGATACGATAGAGGAATGTAAAGTAGAATGTATGCTCTACTGTAAGGCTATAATCGAGCTATTATAATGATTCATATCAAGCACGTCAATATCATTGGGTATGGGACAACCTTTGTTTGGCATAATGGTATAATAAGTTATATTTTCAAGTGGTAGGTATAATGAGGAAAGAACTGGACTAGAGCTAAGATGTTGGATAGTACATCTATTTATGGATAAAAGAAGATGGTGTTAAGGGCAGCAGAATTGATTCGCAGAGGATAGAACTTACGAAGTAAGAAGAAAGCAATCGGCAGATATAGGAAGAATAGAAATAGATTAATGGTCTAAAGGACAATTAGAATAATGTGATAATTGTCTAGTGTTTTATCAAATAAACATGAGTGGGTATTTATATGAAAGTCAGGAATATAGTATGTTAAAAAGAATCAGCTAGTATTGTTGAGCTCTTAATTAAGGGATGTTCAGGGATGACAATATTATCCATGAATTCATATTTAATCGCGCCAAATGGAAATGCAGAAGAAAAAGGGAAGGAAGAAGATACTAAGTATCTGTATTGTCAACACTGTGTTTGGAAAAGTTATCAAGAACATAACCACATCCGAGGCAACGGCAGTTGTAGTAGGCATGACCCACGATGGCGGAGGACTGATGAAAGTGAAAACGGCCGAAACGAAGATTAAGGATGTGATGGTTCCCTTCCCAAGGTACAGGAAACCCGTCCATGCCATCAGTTCTCCAAACTACAGATGTATACACTGTTAGAATAATGTACAGAAAAAAGACTTTTTATTACTATATTATATTACAGAAGCCAAAGCGCGGCTAGGAAGTCTATAGCCATTAAACTATTTACAATGACCTTTTTGTCATTTAGTAGGTCACTAAAGCGTGCCATCATCCTTAGGCAATGCTTGTACTTGGTAAGGATGACGGCTTACCTGGGTCTCTTCGTCTTCCCCTCCAGTGTATACTCTTTGAAGGATTCAAAGCCCCACTTAGAAACCGAGGAGTGCTTGAAATATTCAAGTTTAAGGTTGTCGGATGCAAAGTTAGCAAGGGATGTGTTGGCATACATTATGAATAAAGAGCACTGTTGGGAGATATACAAACAAAATGTGTGATATTGTCGATGAATAGATGTTCATAACTCGGAAGCATAAGTATACAAGTAGATAGAATGAGTTCCTTTGTGATAATTTATAAACAAAGAAAAAGACAAAAAAGAACTTGATTCTTTATATGCAAGAATAAACGTTGTCAGCCGATTGCATATTAGATGTGAAGCGCCATCAACATTCGTCCTTTAGAAAAAAGAACAAAGAAAAGGACTGTTTTTAACCATCTGTACGGACCGAACACGCGAAACATGAGCACACACTTTATTAAAAGCATTGCACTAGAATCTGCTCACTAACGTCTAATCTTGTATTAGTCCAAAAGCAACAATACCGCTACCGCACATACTACCAACTGCTCATCTTGCCGTGCACCTTTGCCAGTTGACTCGGCATATGATGCTTGCCAGACATGCGAAGGACAAGTTGTGGCTTCACGGCATAGGCATTGAGCTGAACAAGAAGAGCAGGAGGACAGTCCAGTGAGACATAGGGGAAGACCTACAGTAGAACTTTCTCAAACCATTCCTGCTGCCTATATTTCTCAGCTACGCCTTTTACGCTCATTGAACTTTGGACGCATGAACAAGGAATACACCCGTTATCACACCCTGCATTGGATTGATGAAAGGCAAGAAGCATCTTCGTTGAGGAATCCTAACTGGGACCAGTCCAGTTACAACTCTTGTCTGACCTACCTGAGTACTTGAAGGACTTGCTTACATGCACAGACAACCAAGGAAAGTAATTTAAGGACAACCTTCGCGAGCGCAACGCTGCCTTTGCGTTTACTTCTTTGAGCTGCGATATGGTTTCTGTCCGGGATTCCGATACCACTAACAACAGCAGAAGAGGATTGAATGCATTTCAAATCCAAGGTGTACTTTGCCATCACCAGTACCGCTTATTCCTTACGACGGCAACGAACCATCCTATGCCCAGCCTTACATATATGGTCCCATCTTATGCTGCATAAAGGAGATCCAAAAGAAACGAAAACCTTAATTTCGAGATCATAACGGAGAAAGCGTGGTACGAGTAGATTTTGGTGCTTCCAAATGACAATAGCAAAAGACCACTTAATAAGAACATAAGCTTCTTCCTTCTTTTTCTCTCTACCAGTTTTCACTGCTGTTAACTGACAAAAAAACATACTCATTAATTATCAATCTCTAAGTGTGTATTATCCTATATTTAACAAAGACAATTTACTAATAAAAATAAAAACTGCCTATAAAAAGTACATAAAAGTCTCAGTTTCTAGTTGTTTAAAATTCACTGTAGGACCTTGCTTTATTTGAATTGTCAGTCTTGGCTCTTATTTTTTTTTTCTTTTCTTTTTTTTTTCTTTATTGCTTGGCATTGTCCTAATGCTCCATATCAGATTGAATACACAAGAAAGATGCTCCCTAATTCATTATCAAAAGAAAAAGCAGAGATTTGTTTGATAAAGTTTATACAAGAAGGGAAGCAACAAGAAAAAGACCAGCATATCGTGTAACCCAGGTCTGGGATTTAAAAAGAATCAAGCAGACCTTCAATAACAAATTCTTTGCCCTTTTTTTTTCCCTCACTCTCTTTTCCATTTTCTTTCTCCTTTATCTCTCTATTCAATAACATGTCTAACCAAGAAACTAACCCAAACCAGCAAGAACAGCCTGCAGGTCAAGTCTTGCAAGAGACGACTACTGACAACACACAACAACAACAACAACCTACTCCTGTAGAACTCAAAGGTCCAGTCAAGACACTGAAGGATGCCTTTCCTGACCTGGATGTCGATGTCATTGAAACTATACTAGATAGCCAAGGTGGAAATCTCGACGCAACTTTTGAAATTCTCTTGGGCATGTCAGATCCTTCTTACAAACCTGAGCCTAGCCAGGAACAAATGAGACAAGACGAGGCGTATGCTAGACAATTAGCTCGAGAAGGAGATGCCCATTATCCTCAAGACACGACGGCCAGAGCAAGCAGTCAAGGCCCAGCGTTTAACTTGCAAGAAGAGTTACCTGTCATAAAGGAAAAAATGATAGAGGCTGGAACAGGTAAATCGTATACTATAATTCATTTTTTCAATATGCTTTAACCTTTTATATTTATTGTTTGTAATATAGCTGCCAAGAATAAAATAGTTAATTTTTATAATCAATTTATGGCTGGATCGAATAGTAGTAATAACAACAATCAACGAACGTAAGCGAACTTGAAAAAAAAAAAAAAAAAAAGAGAGAGAGAGAGAGAAAGCTAATATATACATCACAGCAGTGCCAAAACGACACATGGTAATAACGATTTACTGGAAACAAGAATGGGTAGTTTGAGTCTTATGGATGATCAACCTCAGCGTCCTTCTCCAAACAACAACAACAATAGAGGTGGTTCAGTTGATTTGTATGAATGGGATGGTAAGTTATGCATTACAGGGCTGAAATACAAAAAGATTTTAACGTGCGTTTATCAGGACGAACATCTCATGCTGCTACTCAAAAGAACGTTACGTCAACACCAAACGAACAATTAATGTCAGATGAAGAGTTTGCGAGAAGAATAGCAAGGGAAGAAGCTGAATTGGCAGCAGCAGCAGCGAATAGACCTTCGAGTAAGATAATAAACATTCGAATGGTTGTGATGCTAAGATTGAATGTATAGATAATGAATTACCAATTCAGACAAGTGAAGAGGAAATAGCATTCAAAGCGGTTGATGCTAAGGAAGATAGCCCGGCTGTTGGATATACTATACAGAATGATGACCTTGATGACCTCATTAATAAAAAAGGTACCTACACAATAGAATAATATTATTAATGTTACTTATTCTTTCTAAAAAAAGACGAACACAATCATAAAAAAGATGAATAGGAAACTCTATTAAATAAATTCTCCTTTTTTCTCTTCTTTTTATTTTTACAACTGTGACTACTCTAAAAAGTATATATAAAAAAGGTGCTAAATATAGATTCATCATCCCAACCTGCTTGACTATAGTGTATGATATGTCAACTCTATTGAGGTTAAGATATGCCTCTGACCCTAACGCTGATACTTTCTTTCAATGGGAAGGCTCTGTATAGTAAGCTACACGAAAAAACCAAGTATGCGCGTACACTCACCTTTGTTACAGCTGCTTCATGCCAAACGAACCTCCTAAAAAAGTATTTAAATGCATTGGTATGAACGTTTCCCGTGCCAAGATTGAAGATGGCAAATTATGGGTGCAAGGTAGAGAGCTGACTTATTATCTGGACCCTACCACAGGTGAAAAATTGACGAGATGGGATAATCCTTGGACAGGAGAAAAGGACTTACCAGGTAAAAAA